TCCCGGAAGAGTTCCAAGACTGAGTAGCAAGACCATTCTGAGCATACCCAGAAATCACGGCGTTCCAAGTAATCAAAGCCTTTTCAGGCATCTATCAAACAAGCTCCTCCCGCGCTCAACGGACCCGCATTTCATATACATTGTAAGCAAGCAATTTGCGACTGACAAGTAACGATCCAGTCCAAGCTTAACACAATTGCCATGAAGACACATCCCAAGCCACAAATGCTGAGGAACCGTGCACACCGGTACCAGACCCAGCATTGTAATGGAGCTAGCCGACAAACCCATTTTCTTCATTCTACAAAACAACGCAACCGCATCAAAAACTCTCGAATTCACTACGTACCCAGATATAAGAGAATTGTAACAAACATCTAGCTGTCTCGCTCGAGGATTTTCATCGAACACCTTACCTGCATCGTTAACCAAGCTGCACCTACAGTACATAGAGATCAAGGAAGTGAGCACAAAGGGTTCTGGCTCGCACCCAGCTTTAATAACATGACAATGAAGCTGCTGACCCGCGAAACGAAGCGAAAGGGAAGCACAGGACTTGAGAACGAAAGGGAAAGTGAAGCCATTTGGGGCGGAACCAGAACGGAGCATTTGACGGAAAAGAGACAGTGCTTGAGTGAAAAGACACTGATTTGCTAGTTCTCTCAAGCGAGTGTTCCATGGCGGCGTCTTTGATCGGATTGTCGTCGTGGTTTTCGTCGCCGAGGCTCTTAGTCTCTGCTTTTGGCTGGTCATAGCAGGGTGGCGGAACGGTGGCACCTTTGAGAATTCGAAGCATTTCTGACCAGATAAAACGACCAAAGAAATGTCGTTTTGATGAATGTGGAACGGAGACGGTTGATACAGGTAATTATGGCGGGGGGAACGTTGTGAAGGGTATTAAACGTGCGACGTGGCATTTCGAAACGGAGCGTTTCATTAAAGTATCACAACGGTTGATATTATAGTTTGCAGAGTTTGACCATTTACTGATGGTAATCAGTTTCAGGGCATCTGATTGGATATAACATGACAATATGATAGTTGACGCTATATCTGATCGAAACCTCCAACAAGATAGAGCAGCGAATATTATCTGTTAGCAGATAAAATCCGCAAAACACTTACAGAGAGAGTGTGAGACTTGAAATCGACTCGACTATGGCAATGGAGGCGATGCAATATTCAGCCATTGCTTCCCGCCATTTCTCTGCGATTT